AAAGGAAACTGCGATCATACCCAGGGCTACATAACCTTGGTATTTATATCTTATCTTAAAATAAACTTAAAGTATTATCCATTTTGTATGTGAATGCGTGTGGCAAACGTTAGACGGATTAAGCCTTTTTAAACTTATCATAACCATGAATATATTCCCCCTACTCTTGAACTTAGTTGTTACTCTCACTATCGTCTTTTCTTTAGACTTTTTACCTAATACTACATTTCATTCAGCATGCTTTTTTCTATCGTAACAGGTAGATTACTCACGATCCATCTAAACCGTAATCTCGATTCCCAGGCCTTGACTCACACTTTGTCTAACAATCACATCTTCACCAGTCTGATCGGTTTTTATCGTTGGATCCCCAACACTTATTCCTGTTACACAAAACCTAGTCAGCCGTTCGACATCTTTTAGGCCTTTCCTTCATATAGGACGAAGTTTTTATTAGGAAAAATTTGTTGCCTCTATCTACCACAGGTTTACTTTCATCGACTTGACGACTTTTACTGGTTCACCGCTAATCGTCTTATACCTTACCCCACCTTACGCCTTTACAACAGCGTTTTACTTCCTGATGTTTGGTTCTTCGAGGTATAGGAAACCCCTTCTCATCGTTACGGCATTATAACCTTTACTGACTAAGCTTTCGCTATCAATCCTTGTTTGACTGTAATTTTATGTTTATAAGGCTTTTTTGGTCCAGCCTTCATACTCTTTTTTTTGAACGTCATGCCCTGCCTTACATTCTCATTAAGGATAATATATAGTCCATGTTACTCATTAAGCAAAACAATTTAGTGGATGGATCGACTCTTGGTGACATTAATACTGACTGGTAAATAGTTCATTTTTATACGATATTCATGTTGACGCAGTCCATGAGACTTTCTCGTTTCATCCGTCCTTACCCCTAAGTTAATTTTTAGTCTTAAAATGTCAATTTCTTATTGTCTCTATATTTCTTTTACAACAGTACTCATGTCTCTTTCAGTTTTGGTTGTTGAAATGTTTTTCCCGCTTATTTGTGGTCTACGGGAATAAGTATCAAGCATTAGTCCTCTTTCTGGCAGTCGTATTTATGCTAAATCATTTAAGTGATTTATATTCATAAAATAGTCTAGTATGTTCTCAAATTTTGCGATTCGAATGTTTTCGATTTTTTGTTTTAGAGATGATTTAGGTGCTCTTAGTAATTAAGGTTTTTTAATTAAGGACTCCTATATTACTATGTTGGTTCTACCTTGTTTTAGCAATTTGGTCGGAGCGTCAGGGAGACCTTGTGGAACGTACCTAGTCCTATGTCCTCTGCCATAGTATTCCTGATTCGGACTATTGACTTAGTACATTCCTAAACGTTTCGCCGGCATTGTTAACACAGTTACAACCTATCAAAGTGACAAGTGAAGTTAATCCCCTTGACCAATTTTCTGTTCAACCGCCGTAGAATCACTCCCCGCCCCCATTTTTCGTTATACCTTATAGTGCTGCATCTCCTTCTCTTAACCATTCTTCACAAGAGATGCAACACTAGACGGTAGTACGACAAATAGGGGTGAGGAGTGATGTCACTGTGGTTGGACAGAAAATTTGTAAAGAGGATTGCCTTGTCACTTTGATAAGTTGTAGCTCTGTGTTAAAGATGCCGGCAAAACGTTTGGAAATGTACCAATTCAATGTTCAGAAGCTGGAAATCATGAATACTATAACAGAGGACACATGGCTAGGTATGTTTTATAAGGTCTCCATGATGCCCCGACCAAATTGCCAAAACAAGGCCGAACCAACACTATTAAGCTAAAAGAGACAGCGACCAAATGGAAGGACATATCATCTTGATCTTCATATATTCCATCCCTTTATTACTGTTCGTAATCTCCTCTGTCTGCATTTTGTTTCATTTATTTTTGGTTCTTTTATTAAATCACATTTTCCCTATTTTTCTTTTTAATCTCTTAGGACAGTCCTAGAATTTATCACTGATCTTTTTTTAGAATCAGTTACACTATTTTCCTTGGAACTGTTCTTTAAATCATTTTTAATACTTGTACATTTCATACACTTATTTTAATTTATGGTGGTATTGATTCTAGTTAAGTTTCTGCTTCCTCTTGTGAAAGTTACTTTTATTTATTATTTAGGTTTAGGTTAGTCCGACTAATATATCCAGAATTTTATAAAAGCTTTTCAAATGTATCAATTTTTAGTAGTCTAATAAATTTAGTCAATTAAATGAGAGTTAATTTTTGCATTTTTGGACTACCTCATATATTCTTCATTCAATTTATTCTTTTAAGCCTTTTTGTCTTAATTCTGTGCATTTAGGTTTTCCAGTGCGCTAACTATTTGCTCTCATTTCGTTACTTTCAATATGGTTGTCACTACTCCTTTCGGTTTTTATTTGCGATTCCTAATTCGCATAGTGTGGCCAGCCGACTATATAAAATTCAATGCATATTTGTTAATTCAGTTGTCCTATGCTTGTATTCCAAACTCTCGTTTTCTCTTTTTTAGGCTACTTGACTTTTACTTAGAATTTGGTGTTTTCATAATCATTTGAATAATCAAATATTCTTTGCTGTTGCCATTTTAATAAGTACCGACAAAATCTACAGAAATAGCAGCCCCTTGTTCAAATACAGTGCCTCTTCAACTTTCGCAGTCTCAACATATTGCAGATTTAGAGCTGGTCTCATCTGCCTCCCTCTTTACTTTGCCGTCGTCTCCTGATCCAGTGCCGATCACTGCTACTGAACAGATTTCGGCAGGTTCAGCTGATTCTGCTCCCTCTCCTGACTCTTCCTCAGAAATAGTCGGACACTGCCTTGCCACAGACTCCATTGTATGTACAACTGCTGCTTGTAGTACCACTCATAGCTTAGGCCAATCTGCTGGTCTAGGTTCAACTCGCCCTAACCTACCAGTTACCTCAACTGGGTCACAAGTCTTCAATAGCCCAATGGTTCGAGGTGGGCTTTTTTTGCTAGTTATTTTTTTAACTTTCTTATTTTAATTGGCTTGTCTTGCTATTGTTGGCATTCTCTTTGGAATCATTAACTCATTTTGGATATTTCGAAGTAATTTCAGAAATCTAAGTGAAATATGTGCCCAAAGAAAAGCTCAACCTGGCGATACTATTCCTACTAGAACAGCATTTTCTGCCATCTAATTTTATTCAGATATGCTGTTTAAACATCCTACGTTTATAGATATTTCTGGTTACATTATATATATTTTTTGTTAACAGAATTACAATCCCCTTCTTTTATTCGACCGTGATTCTATTTTAATTCCTTTCTCTTTTTTGGAACGATTACTTGAGACATCCTCTAGCTCCGCCATCTTTTT